ATGATATTCTAGATCTTTCTATGCTACTTTATATATATTGAATATATACAACACACTTGAAAGAATCATAGTTCCTAAGTTATAAGACCTTTTGGCAATTTTTAATCAATAAATTATTAAGTTGACCTTGGTGGATGTAAGCCAGATTTTAATGAATTGTTAACACGACCCCATTCTACACCTCTACAAAGTTTTCTCAGAATTTATTCAACATTTTTCAAGATATCATGTTTACACACATAATGAGATGTGACACACATGCCCACACGCATTCACGCAAAAGCCACCAAAAACAAAACCTCCTTTTCTGAGGTAACAACTTCTTGGTTTATACACCTCCTGATCAACAGCAACTGTTAACCCACACGGAAAGTACTTTATATCAAACAGTCTTCTTTTTAATTCTTGAAGTTCTCATTGCAGTAATTGAAAATCAGTAATCAGTGATTTCATCAGTGATGAAGTCGCCGGTTCACTAACAAAGAGAATGGCTTGAAGCATTAATATGAGCTGAGCTGAATTAATGTTCCACTTTTTACGGAACAAGGCTTAACTGCAGACACATCAATAGTAATATGGAACAAAAATCCTTGTGAGGTTATAATGGTCCAGTTTTACCTTGTTTGATGGAAAAGCTATTGTCCATCAAATTGTACAAAGGATAATTACAAAAGATGAGGATATACCTCCACAATAGATGCTGATAAACTCTCTACAGTATAATTAAAGCTAGTTACAATATCACTTTAGCTAGTTCTTTTCAAATTCTGTTCTCTGTTCACAACTGACTCAGTGTGTTCTTCTATTCCCTCTGGACAACCATGCTTACTTCTTCGTGCGTGCTTTCTTGTCTGTCACTTAAAAGCCAGTTTTGTTGCTTATTTCTATGATAAAGTTCTAAGTTTTGAAAATTGAGATTCCCATCCAATTTTAAGACTGCTTTTACAATTTGTTAGAATTAAAAAATCAAAAATATGCTACTCCACATAGACTGAATATGTTTTCTTTTTCTTGTGTCATCTGCAAATCTGTGTTGTTGACTGTATCTTACCTGCCCACATGTATTCTCTCCCCTGTGACCTTTTACTTACCTGCATCGAGTCCCTCAAAGCCTCATTATGTTTCCTGTAACTGCATGTACCTCGCTTGAGTGTTCTGGTCTTTCTAATTAGCTTTCATGTTTCATCTGCTTATATGATTGCATGCTGTCCATATAACTACAGATACAGTTGAGTGATGTGTAGCTGATACTACCCAAGACATTATAAGGAAGAGAAATAACACATATTGTCAAAAAAAAGACATATCTCATTATTTTTTAGCATTTTTGTCTTTGCTGATGCCTCACCTGACATGGTCTCAGTGGAAGGTTAGCTGTCAGGAAACCATTCATAAGTAAGGGAAACAGAGAGAAAAGGCTGAAGTGTGCTGAAGGCTGTGTTGAAGTTTATATTTGATACAAAATATCGAATTTAAACCTTGTTATATTTAAGCCTTGTACACTGAATTTCCACGTTTGCATGTTTCAATTAATCACAGAACCTATTCTCATTTACATAGCAAAATGTAAAGGAAATATGCAGCAATGCAAAGAATACATTTTTATATAATCCAACCAATAACAGAGAAAGTGATATATTATTATAGGGTTTTCAGAAGCGTCAACTCTCCAACTAGATTTCATCTTTTCTGTCGATTGTATTTGTTAATCAGTTTGTAATATTTCAGATTATTTAAATAAAACCCAACTGGGGTGTTTAAGTTTTAAACCCTTTGAACAGCAACGTTATTACACATGCACGGCACACAAATCACATTCTCGCAACCTATGTATGTATTCCTGATTTGCCTTTGTGTATTTTTTTTCTCTCCTTAACAGCTTTTCCTTCTCATTTCTTCCCTCACACACTCACACCCAGCATTATTCTGTTATTCAAATACACAGCATGATTTAACTCTTAACCACGCTGTCTCTCTCACACACATACCAAAATATCTTGAATTGGCTTTGCCTTTGAGCCTTTGCCTTTTCGTTTTTTTTTCTTCTTGAGACCAGTTGCTCAAACCCTTAAGGCCTCACTGTTAGCTGTACAGAAAAATAGAGATGGAGCAATTGAGATGAGAAAAAATTCCAGCCCATCCTCCTCCTCCTCTCTGCACAGCTCCTCTAAGAAAACACTTTGTTTGTTTCAAAGGATGCTGAGAAGCTTGGGCAGCAGATGTGAGATTTTGTGGAAAATGACAAGTAATGAATCTCTTCCACAGTTTTCTAGTCACATAGTATATGATGTTCTGCTGCCTCTTATGCGGCTGATTAATCCATGTGCCATGGATGCTTCCTGTTCTCCCTCTTAAGTCTGTACATAAAAAGAACATTTAGAAAACTCGTGTGTGATTCAAATCATGAGGCAAGTTGTGATTAATTGTGTACACTATTATGTGAACACTATGACTCAATCATTGGATTGAGTCATAATGGTAATTCAGAAAAGACCATTTTATACCTTCTTGGAACCATCATCCTCTTCTTGCTGATAAAGAGCAATTTTGCAGTTGTACTGGTTGAGCCAACTACAGGGATTTACCATGGCAAAATAAGAAATGTGGTGCTTGCAAAGGTGAACTAGTTTACAACAAAAGAAAAGAGCAAGTAGACAAGCAGAAAACAACATTGGGGGAGGTCTGAGAAAAACAGAGAATTAATGGATGGCATGGAGGGGAGAGACAAACGAAATAAGCTGAGGGAAGAAATGGGTGAAGTGTGCCTTCTTTCTTTTACAGTTGCCATGGACACCAAGAAAGCTGAGTTACTGCTGTGTGAACCTTTTACAATGAAAAACACATATGCACAATAAAAGGCTGTCATAATTGTCATCACCTATGTCTCTCCACTCCTAAAACTCCCACCTTCTCGAGTTAAAGAAGAAAAAGAAAGGATTTCACATAAATGCCTGTTATCACAAGGCATTTGGGGCAGGTCAAGTGAATTCAGCATACATCTGCTGAGTTGGGTCCTCAATTCAAATGAGGTAAAACTAACGACACAAACACCACAAAAAAATCACTGAGAGGGAAAAAAGGGATGAGTGCAGCACATCATTTGCAAGACAGCAGTGCAACAGGATAAATGCACTCGTTAAAAAGTTGTGTTTATCTTTGATGAGAGCTGACTGCTGGGCTCTTTATTCTTGGTGGAACAAGCAAGAAAATCATCAACACAGCAAGCCCATTTATCTGTCATTTCTCTCACCCTGTCATCCTTTTCCTTCAGAATTTCTTTTTCCTTTGTCCCTTTTAAAATTACAGCTATCAGCGTGTTTGAGATCTCGAAGCTGTAATATATAAATAAAAAACTATGTATATAAGAAAACACTATTTCCTAACTACTATCCCCCCACCTCCACACTCCCATTTACGAGTTCTCCCCATACATCATTTCATATCATAGAGGAGATTACTTTTCATTAAATGTCATTAGCATATATGTTTTCTGTGGCTTTGTGTCAGGTTCATTACTTTATCTACTCAAGTGTAATGATGTGAATTGTATAACCACAAGGATTATATTCCATAATAAGTCAGCTTGTCTTTTGTAGAAATAAACTCAGCAAAGGTGAAACTAACACCATATCACAAAAGAGTGTAGTTAATGAAATACATGAGTGACAGCACATCACAGGTTATCCAAAGAGAACTACACTCCAAACTTATAAAAGTGTCAGTTGTTTAATAATTTTTGTTGTTTGTTTTACATTTTGCTTATCCTATGCAAGCTGACAGCTAGGAGAGAAACACTGTTGTGAAACAGATGTTCTTTTTTGGTTTGTGGATAATCAATATTGACATTAGCTGTCCCATGAGAAATATATTATGTTTTGCTGTTGATTGTAATTTAAAATTAAGCAACACGGAAAGGATTAAAAATAATATCAAACAAAGACAGGGCGATACATAAACACATCCTACTTGAATGTGTGGGCACCCATACTGTTCCTGTCTTATAGTCTGTGGTAGGCTCTCTGTGGCAATGGGTTTTAGAGTTTCTTTTCCACTATTTGTTTTTTTTTGTTTTCTGAATACGAGAAGTACGTAGTTTTCACTTTGGAGTTTCAAACATTTTTTTTTTCTAAAACTTTATGTAGTGCTTGGGCTCCTGACAAATCCCCAACGGTCACAACAACACAGCTTCCGTTCAACTCACTGTTACGTGCAAAAAGAAAAAAAAATCTTGCTTCTAGCCTGAGCAGTACCCCAAAGAGTTGTATGTGAGGATCAAACAGCTGGAACGGACATTAAACGGTTTTTACCCCAGCTCCCTAATCATTGTACTATACGATCCATCCCATGTGTTAATAGCTCTGGCAGCTGTCCAGAGAATTCGCAGGAATGAGTGAGCTTAATGCATCCTGCCTCCTGCATGCTGCTCGACCACTGAACAAAACCGCACTATGTGTTTCCAGTACTTATACCTGACCTGGAGAATCTACTGAGCGACGTGTGAGAAACTTCAGAAAATGCCTAGACCGGATCGGGGAGTTCGACGAGTGCAGAAATGGGCAATAGATATAAGGTGGAAAAACCTTTATTTATTTATTTTACAGAATCTGTCACAGCCAACTGAAATCGCCATGAAATCCATAAATCGGGTAATTCGAACTTACATTAACAGCTGTTTCACGTTATTCAGAGGTTGCAATAACTAGTCGTAAAAATCAGGGCCAATAACCCAGCTTTTAAAGTGGTCATTCAAGTTGGCATGGCAACTAAACTGCTTGGTCCCCTGTATTTCCGAATTCTACGTCCAGTCTTTGACAAAACAAATCGTAGATGTCATTGTAGCAGTTATCTTGACAAAGATAAGATGGCACCAGGGGGAAAAGGTATTTTAAATTACCTGCAGCAGGAACTCCAAGTGAATGGTGCGTTTCTTGAGTTGATTTACCAAACTTGCAGGCTTTTTAAAACATTTAAAATGTAAAAGGGTAAAGTGATTTCACAAAGTGGAGGGGAAAAAAGCAAAAAAAACCATGTCATTCTCTGATTGGCCATGTGCGGGCACGTAAAACCACACCAGCCTCATCGGAGCAAAGAATAGAGGCATGCTATCGGTATTAGTGCTGGCGAATCCAGCTATTTCTCACTGTAGTGAAGTGCTGCTCAACTTTCCCGGCGATCGATACTGTTCGAAACCTTAAAGATAACGGATTACGGCCAACCGGACCGCCTTGTGCAAAGACACTCCGTGCACACATTTTCAGCACGTTGGACAGCGCACGGCGCCGCAGAGGCGGTGCGCGGATTCAACCGGTGGCTTTCAACGAGCAGAGTGAAGACCAGAGTGGACCGTTTGACTAAATGCTGTACAAAAACTCTTTTTACGTCACATGTCTGATAGGATTTTTCTGCTTTCTGCACTTGGACTAGTGTTTTTCTCGTTCTTCCTAATACACGGTGTCTTTGTCGATTCCATCGTGTGGGAAGGCGTGCCGAGAGTGGCTGACTCTTGAAGCTGTGTGCTGAGTAGCGTGGAATAGGTGACTGTCAGGCGGGAGGAGTGGTGTGGTGGTGCCTAAGAAACCTTCCCTTTATAAGGATGCTGGTGGGAAATGCCTGGAGACAGAGATGACGAGATTTGTCAAAAGGCGCTCGAACTCTTGTCAGATCTTTGTTCTAAGGGGGAAGTGCAGAATGAAAACTGTCGGGATTTTATCTACTATTTCCGAGATCTCGCCAGACCACGCTACACGGATTCAGGTGAGGCATCATTTGCAAGCTTGATTCAATGGTTGCACTAAATTCAATGTAAGTGAAGTCGCATATGACTTCTTTCACTGAACATCGCACGCATAAAGCACACTAGGTGGTCCAAGCTTGGCTCGACTACTTCACGACGAAGATTAGTCTATAATATCAAAGAAAAATTAGACTTGTACATTATTTTTTCACATTAGTTAGCTCACCGATCCGGTTAAACTATGCATTTTTCGAGGAAGTCCATTTTTCTTCCATTTTTTTCCCATTTCTATCACACGAGGTTGGCGTGACATCGTGTAGGCTAGTCTGTGAACACTCATCAGATATGTTTCACTGGATGAGTTGCCCTGCATCGTGTATTTACTGACATGTCACAAACATTGAGTCATACTACTTTGAAACTTTGCCTCTTTTTTTTAAAATTCTTACCTAAAAGCATTTGCTTTTTATAATTAGATTTAGAATTAGCCACTCTCGCTTCATAATTATCAACACTTAGGGTAAACACATTCGCCTAAATGGCATGCATAAATTAGTGTCAGTGTGCATGTGTGCGGAGGAGAGAAGGAGCGAGCGAGAAAGCGTTATTTGGAGGCGCGAGAAAGCGTAATTCCTGCACATTTCCACTGCATTCATTCTGCTTCCACAGTTTGCATCAATGATTATTCATCACGTGACAGGACTTTGTGAATTGTCAGTCTCCTCCAACCCCCAAGCTCTCCCTTCTGTTCCTTTCCACTTTACTTCAACTATCCCCCAAAGTCCCAGCTCTCTTCTTGCTTCCTCATTCATCATATAGGCCGATCTTCTCTTGTCTTTTACACTGACACTTTCAAAAGTGAAATTATGTGGGTAGCCCGTGGGGCTAGCTATCAAGAGGGCTTACGGGTTTAATTTCTGTTCCAGCTGGCATATATCACTCAGCGTGATGGAAGAAAGCCATAAGAGAATAACAAAGGAAATAAGTACAAGGCAGAGGACAGCTACTCTTTCAGCTAGAGTTGAAGCTGTGGGTGTACCGGTCATATATATATATATCTTTTTGTTTTTTTTTTACAAATATGCTAAACATAAAACATCATTTTGACTTCAGATTTGATTTAAATCAATTACGTAAACATATTTACAACTATTTTCTCAAAAGATCATAAAATATCAAGGATTAATGAAATAAAAACTGGAACATGAAAGAAAAATAAAGATGTGTAACATGTCTTTTAATGGATTAGTCACCCACTTGGAAAGATACCTTTCTTGACACTCTTACAGAGAGTATGTTGAGAAGTTTAATATCAATCCCAATGACTGTGGTCAATCAATCAATGCCTGTCTTGCTGAAGCCAAATGCCAATTAGCTTAGCTTTAGCAGGAACAGAAAAATGTGTCTTCCACTGTTCAGAGCACATATCACAGCTTCTAATTTTTACACTTTAAAACTAGCATGATTATTTAACAGACTGTGGCAATTAATCAGCTTTAGAGATACGGTAGGAGGATTAAGTTACCTTGGAACAGAGTCAGGTTTCAGAGTTTATGAGGGAAGCTTTATATTTAACAGATATGTATACGAGTGGATTTAGTCTTTTCATCTGTCAATAAGCAAGTAAAAAAAACAAAAAAACAAAAACATATTTGCAGAAATGCAAATGCAATCGAATGCATCATCCTTTACAACATTGGGGACAACAAGTTGGAACCACCTACTGTACATGTGTAACATATTACATTTCCGATAGTTTTTACTTACAGAGAGGTATTCTTAGGGAAAATAACATCCCAGAAGTAGACATTACATATATTGCCTTTTCAGCACTTGCTTGCCTCCTACACTTTTGCACCTTTGAAGGTCCTGTGCACTAAAATTGGTCCACCCTCTTTGTTCCAATGTAGTCTTTAAATCCCTCCAGATGTCTATAGCTTCTTCTCCACCAGGCAGCATTTGGGCGGCCTGCCAAACCGACTGTGGGCTCAGCGTCCTCAGATGGCAAGTCCCTCAATTTCTCCACATTATTCTCTCAAATCACACATACTCTGGTATTCACAGAATTTCACAGTGCAGAAAGGACAGTTGGTCTGTGTTCCTGTGCAAGGTCTTATGACAGCTCCCACACACAGAGCCAGTCCTAATTGCAGGACTGTGGGATTTGGAGGATGGGTTACCTTACCAACAGCATATAGTGAAAAGTGCAAAAACCTTTATTGCCAAATAAGTACACTTTTGGCTGTTTGGACTAAAACAGTCATGCAATTGATGTGTAGTCTCATTAACTTTTATCTAATACTCTTACCATGACAAAAAGTCAGCCTCAGACTCTTAATTACAAGTGTGATCTTTACATTAGATGTGTCAGGTGTGATTCAGCTCATCACGAGTCCTCTCATATTTTTAAAAGCAGCTCTTCTTTGTAGTATCAGTCAGACCAAACACTCAAGACAGACTGAAATCAGCTCTAAATCTGTGCCCAGCTCTGTAAGTGGGAGCAGAAGTTTATATGCAAAAATTCTAAAGTTCATGATTATTAATCTCACTCATTAAAAACAAAAGAAGAAACAAAGTGGATCTTGACAGGTACGGTGTTCTGTTGCTATAGCGTGCAACTAAAAAGAAACAAAATGAGAGGATTGAATGTGATGAGTTCAGGAAATAGTTTGCTTCAACTAAACGTAACATGATATCTGTCAGCTACAATTCGGATTAGTGTACAGCTTTAACATTTCTAATATAAGCTACTTTCATCCAAAATAAAATAATGCATTCAGTCCAACTGTGTAACAGCAAACGTATCCAACAAGTCGATTTCAAATGCTACATCTAATCAAATGCCTTGTGTTGCAATGAAATTTAAACTTATTGTAGAGCCATTAATGATAAATAAATTATAATGATAATCCTGCATCTCATTAATCCACTCTCTATTTCATTTAATTGTGCATTAGTTGTACATTTGTTGCTTGTGTCTAAGCAGATTATCTGTTCGGGTATTCATGAGGAGAAAGTCTCCTTGATGTGATACACATCATGATTATTACCCTTTTGTTAAATGTATCAACATACCAATCACTTGATTTCCTGGAGCTTTTATAGGCTAATAAAATAACATGCTCTGCTTAACAGTAATAGGTTAATCAGGAAAACAATCATTGCTTTTTCTAAAAACTTCACTCATTGTTATGACTAATGTACTTAATACAGATTACACCAATATTACACTTTTGAGTTTTTTTCTTTTGAAAATTTTATTCCAGTCTTCACAAGCCTGATTTGTCTTCGCATACATGAAGGGACAAAGGATATGTCTGCTATAATACTATGGGCAAATAATAGCCTGTTGCATAGTCAGCACATAAACTGGGAATAATCTGTATCGCTGCCCTCGCATAGCCAAAAATAGATACAGTCAGGTGGATACAGCAGACTGGTTCTATTCAAAACACTGTGCAAGAGCTTGGGCTTTTCAATAAGCAAAATTACCTCAAAGATGAAAGACCGTTACATTAAATTAATAGAAATCATGTGTTAAAGAGAGATGATGGGGAACTGGTTAGAAGAGGGATTTGGGAGTCAGTTTAGCTGGTATCAAAGCTTAGAGGAAGCAGCAGACAGTGGCAGAGCAGGAAAGCTCAGGTGGACACCCTGGGGACTTAAAGGGTAGAAACAAGAGACCTCTGCTGGTGGGCCAGAACAGAAGAGGTCAGGCAGATGGACTGAGCAATGGAGACTGACGTTGCAGAAGAGTTCAGATGGTTCTGGCTGTCGGCTAAGGTGCTAGACAGGATGGTTGCTGGAAACCAGAGTCATCTTTAGTTAAGGGAAACCAGAAGAATCCTTAGTCCTGGCCAATGAGAGGATGGCATTTGGAAAGGGGTGCAAGACAGGTGACTGCGGTGCTGGGAGCTCACTGAAGCGTGGCAGTGTAGAAAACCATATGGAATAAAAATACGAAAACTGCATCTAATTACCCATTATCTCTATTGATTAAATGAAACATACAGCACATATTTTATAAGGTCATGTGTATAAGGACATGATATACTTATATAAGTGGCCACTTCCATTTTTAACATATGATATAATGTTTTGCCAATTCTTATGTAATTCTTATAATCACAGGCCATGAGATGGTTGTGAAAGCAGACACTTAAATTAGTCGATAATAGTATGAGATGCAGCATTAATAGCAGGTTTTCTGCAACTAATAGGGAAAAAAGGGACTTCAAAACTATATGTCTTGTAAGACATGCATAACCTGAATGATTGTGATCAAGATTTTCGAATTCTTATTTAATGTGATTTTTGAAACTATGGTGACAGGGGTGCATAGCTGGTCAAAATCGTCACATACAAGAGATGAAGAAATAACTGAATGATGAGTCTCGGTAGCCCTGATAATACAAAATATAAGAGTAAAAGGGAAAAAAAGACTGATGACCATTAATGATGCACTGGAGACGGTTGTTAACAATGCAGTGGTAAAGCACCATGTCAGTATGTGTAGTATTTTTTCAGTACTTATTCAGTGCACTTGGCCACGTTATGAACAGCATTTATTTCTTCTGTTATCTTGATGATGAACAATTAAAGTAATTACCACTTAATCATTTTTTGCCTCACAGAAGCTCAAGGATGGATAAGAGCTTAGGGAATGAGGGAATTCAGCATATAGAAAGTGTAAGTCTTTGATATTTCCATAATTACACATGCATAACAGCTTTAAAATCTATACAATCCCAGATGCGTACTCCATCCTTATTTTATTTTGACCTTGTCATTGCCCCTGGGATTGGTTAGTTTTGAAGGTTTGGATTCTTGTTAAATATTAAATAATGCTGGTTTCTTTTCTGCTTTCACTGCTGCTGTTTTTAAATGTTTGTGTTTTTGGTTCCTACTTTCGGTTTAATATACTTGTGATTTATTTCAGTTATGAGATATTATTGCCTTTTTAGTTTCTGTCTGGAGCTGATTATCATTTTTGTTTCCTCACTGTTTTCTTGTGTCCGTGTTGAGTAGGTGTTCTGGATTGTTTCCTGTTTTACTTTGATAGTTTTCATTGGTTGTTTTAATTTGGGTTTTTTTGTTTGTCTTTTTTTAAAATTTGTTTCTAATTCTCAGCCAGTCCAGCATCTGGATCCTTGTCACCGCTTCCTTCATGACAGACCCATCCCAACTTAATATCTACTACTAAGACATTAGCCGACATAAGGAGTTCATAAGATTGTTCTGGTCTGCTTCAGTGACATTACATCATCAAATAACGGTGCATAAAAACACACTGTTCAAATTCAGATATCAAACAGTATCTCAAAAACATGACATGGGATTTTCAAAGCAAAATTGTGTGCATATCTGTAACACCAATTAGGATGCAAACCATCTCAAGCCTGTTTTAACAACTTTAAACTTTAATTAAAGCCTCAATTAATTTTTATGAAAATTACACATGCTGTGTTTGAACTTGTGACATTTAAAGTTCCCTACAGAGCCACATTTCTTCAGTTTGGTATCTCAGAGACTCCAGCTGTAAAACATGGTTAAATGCAACCTTTTTTCATATCTTCCATGGTCTTGATTGACATTAACAGCACTTTTTAAAAAGGCACATTATTACATGTTTTTAAATATCAGTAGAATTAACAAATTTCTGGGGTTAATACATCTAATATATGTGAATACATACATACCCTTACCTCAATTTGAGGCAAATGGTTAATACTCTTTATTATCCAAAAAAGACTTCAGGTAAATTTTATTTGCTTATAACAACAGTTGTCTTATGGTGCTTTATATTGTATGGGGTAGAAGACCTTAACAATATTAGAGAGAAGGAAACAAGCAAGCACTTGGTGAAGGTGGAGAGGAAGAACCTCCCTTTAACAGCCAGAAAGAGGCTCGGGGACATTTGCAGCTTCTGGAAAGAGGGAAAGCAGAACAGTGAAAACAGAAAAGTAAAGATCATTTAAGAAAAGACAGGTAATAGTAATGTAACTTAGTATATTATCACTGTTTGGATGAAAACTCCTTTTACTTGCAATAAAGTTGCAAAGTTCATGTAATTATTTCAGAGTCATTGCAGCAGTTTCTATTTTTTTTTTTTTGTGCTTTTGCTTCTTGAGAGCAGAGATGATTCAGATGCCCTTGATGACTCTGTTGCTTCACACCTCATCTCCCTTTCCATGGTGACTTGCACACCCTGGGCTGGTGTAAACAAATGCAATGCACTGAAGAATTATTCAGTGTCATGCTTTGAAACTATGAACTTGATAGATGAAGACCTGGATTGATATGCTGGTAAAACTTTTTATACTCCCACGGCCATTACTCCTGGTGTTGCCCACAAGTACTGCTTATATTTAATCACACAGTTTATGATGCACATGTGTGAACAGCAACCGAGTAGTAACTTTAATTTTGCAAAGCTGTTATCTTTAGAGTGACATCTTCAGTTTGTTTATACGTGTTTTGTGGATCCACAGATTTAACAGGAGAGCTAGAGTAGCTGTTAGGAGCCCTTTAAACTCCTACATGTACCAGTGTAGAGCAGCTTCATGAGTGATCTTGTCCTTGAATTTTGGGATTCGATAGTATTTCTCTTATGAACTCATCTGTTTTCAGAATGTTTCTTTTTTTTCTGTTTTGTATAAATTGTGACTTTCACGGCTTCCCTCCCCATTTGTCAAATTGTTTTTTTTTTAACCACAGACCATATATAACAGCCTGTAAATGTTTTTCTTGCAAGCTGTTTTTTATACCCTCTCATTTATTAACATGATAATATGCATTAACCACACAGGCAGCATGAAGCGCCTTGGGTTTAGCACTTTATCAAACTACTGGGAACGTTTTAAATTCTTGCAATTAATGTACCTCACTGACAGTTTCAAATTATAAATTATACTCATGGAAGAGAGTTAGTTCTGCTTTATTGTGGCTGTAGCTCAGGTGGCAGAGCAGGTCAGCCACTAATCAGAAGGTCGGTGGTTTGATCCCAGGCCAAATATCCTTGGGCAAGATACTAACTCCCATGTTTGCCAACTGGTGGTGGTCAGAGGGCCCGGCAGCCTCGCCTCTGTCAGTGCGCCCCAGGGCAGCTGTGGCTGTGGCTACAATGTAGCTTGCCATTGTAAATGGGTGAATGACTGAATGTAGTGTAAAGCGCTTTGGGGTCCTTGGGGACTGAGTAAAGTGCAGTGAGTATAAATGCAGGCCATTTACCATTTCTTTTCAAAGTTCTTCATTGGTTATTCCTATGGATACCAGGAGAGCTCACCAGACTCAAATAAACATCTACAAACAGACAAATCCAAGCAAGTTCAAAAAAGTAATCTTCATCTGTATGACAATAGCTGCTTTGCAAATACACACAAGAAAAACCACAAAGCAAAAGTCAAATGCCATGTGCATGCTTGAAAAGAATTTCTGAATTGTCATGTTAAAACAAAAATATTTTAACTTATTTTCTGAAAACAACAACAAACCAAGAACTGTGGTCATCTGTGGTTGTAATGCTGCATTTCTATATTTGGTTTTGTTGTATTTGCACCTCTTTTGTGGAAAAATCATTTTTAAAGTTTCATTTTTTCACCATAATTATCAGCAAAGGAAATGAAATCGAAACATGGGGGGCACACTACCCTTAGAGTGCAGATATGAGCCTCCATTGGATAGTTAAATACTGCTACTACTACTGTACATCATTTTGATTTTATTGAGCATTCTTTATGAGAATCTGTTAGAAAAGAAAAAAATAAATCCAACAGGACCTATAGCTGTGTACCTGACATGTCCATCATGCAGTATTTTTAAAACATTTACTGAGTAACTTAATCGTGAAATGGTTATATATGATGGTGATATCAAAAATCAGAGTGCAACAAAGCAAAGAGAAGACTTATTCACTGTCAGATCTTGTTCTCTCTTTCCAGACATATCTGTGAGTCTGCTGTCATTGGTAGTGACTGCCTGTGGCTTGGCCCTCTTTGGGGTCTCCCTCTTTGTTTCATGGAAGCTCTGCTGGATACCATGGAGGGAGCGTGGGCTTTCCCCCACCACCAAGGAAGCCCATGGGCACCTCAACCCGACTATGAGCCCTCTGCCATCACAGTCTGCACCCAGGCAGCCAGTTTACACAGCTGTGGACCCCCCGATGCACAACCGCCGTGAATCATCACATTGTTCCATGGCCAGAGAGCCTACTCCCGTGGCATCTGTTGTTTCAGTGGAGGCTCCGGTGACTCCTGTATCACCACCACCTGTGGTCATGGCCACACCAGAGGCAGCTATGAAGATCAGCCACACATCTCCAGATATACCACTGGATGCCCAGAGTAAAAGCAGGGAAAATGGAGTTCACACTAACCCCCGAATGCAGAGACAGACCACTGAACCCCCACCTTCTGGATGCTCAATGTCTGAAATAGGGTCAGTATGAGGTATTTGTTGATTTATGTGCTCCCATAAGATATGCTGGCCTTATTTTCTAAAAATCCCCTAACAATTATGATCTCTGTTAAAAACGCTAACAAACTAATTGTTTCTGCTACTTTTCCCAATAGGACAAGAGAGATGAAAGACAAAATGACTTGGACTTGACTTTAGTTATGACTCCTGCCAACATGTTTCACATTTTTACTTTCTATTTGTGCATCAACTATAATACACTTAAGGATTTTGGTAAAGGAAAACAACTTACACCTTATTTATGATTAGGGTTAGGTAGTTCAGAGGCTTGGTTGAAATGTGGATTTTGTTAAGTGTAGGTGTCTGAAACATGACTAAATGTCATGTGCAGATGTGAGTATAAAAAACAGACACATTATAAGGCAATAATGACACCAAAACAACAATTTCTGTCTGCTAGACTATAAAATGTATAATACAGCACACTATGTGTACACTATGTTCTTGAAGTGAAAAGCAGCATTGGCACTAGATATAAATTATGATATGCAGAACAATTCATTATGCAGGTTGCTTCAAAAAATATGCAGCTGATGTTTTAACATTCCTTCTTTTCATTGTGTTAATGTTGTATGATTTTGTTTTCTGTTGATTTCCTCTGTGCACAGTCAAGGGTCCATTCGTAGACACATGAACCTCTCTAACCCAGACTTCAACGTGGCCCAGTTCCAAAGGCAGGACTCCCTCACCGGAATGGGCCTGGGCCTGGGCCGCCTCAAACCCGAGCTCTACAAACAGCGCTCCCTTGAGGGGGACGAAGGAAGTCGAAGAGACGGAGGTTGTGGGCGCCTCCATTTTATCCTCAAATATGACTGTGATCTAGAACAGTTAATAGTTAAGATCCACAAAGCAGAGGACCTCCCGGCCAAGGACTTCTCCGGTACCTCTGACCCTTATGTTAAGATCTACCTGTTGCCCGATCGAAAGACCAAGCACCAGACAAAGGTGCACCGCAAGACACTCAACCCTGTGTTTGATGAGGTCTTCCTGTTTCCTGTGGCATACTCTGAGCTTCCTACACGAAAGCTACACTTCAGTGTCTATGACTTCGACCGCTTTTCACGGCATGACATTATTGGTCAAGTGGTGGTGGACAACTTCCTGGATCTGGCAGATTTCCCCAGGGAGACAAAACTCTGTCGAGACATCCAGTATGTCTCCTCGGTGAGTTTGAACGTTCACTCAAAACTATGTCATATTTACTTAGAGCTGCCAGGTTATATTTAACTTTTTCCCACAAAGGCTGTGTGTGACAGCTGTGTGGAGAGTTCGAAATTTGTCCCTCTGTCTCCCACTGGCAGTACAAAGTACAGAATTTTTTTTCCTTTTATCACTTGTCAGGTCTGAAAAAACAGGACAAAAATTAGTTAAGGTGATCAGGCCTGTGTTTGAAAACTGATGTTTTCTTTTACTTTGCTGTCTCTCTCTGCTGTCGAGATGAAAAGACTTTAAAAAAGCATCTGTTTAATAACAGATCTAGTGACCCCGAGCGCAAAATTTTACTACACAAGACATCTATGGCATCTGTATTGATATTATATGCTTTTTAAAATTGCCTTTACATGCCCGGAGAATGATTAGCAATAGATTTTTCATTAAATATGGTTTTTGGAAGGAATACTAATTTAAAAAATATGCATTTAGAATAGTGTTTAATACTATACCTTCCTTTTTCTTTAACAATCCTTGATGCTGCACATATTACAAATAGATGACACAAGTGAAGGACTGAGGCATTTTATTAGCAATTACTTTTACTGCATCTGCTCCCACCTATCTAAATTCAGTTTGCTCTGCTGGAACGACCTGTTTACCATGAGTAAATTAAATCCTTTGAGACTTTTTAAGGTCAACAGGATTGCAGGCCTCTTGCCATGTTAACTTACTGACTGCGTGCTAGTAAATCTCATTTTGTTAGGACCAGTTTCTGTTAGACCTATAAAGTGAGCATACAGTTGCACAGAGAGTGTCTGTCAGTGTATGTATGTCCTTATAAGACCAAATGTGTGTGAGAGAGAAAGAAACAGAGAACAGGAGAAAAAAATATTTAAAAAAAAACTGAGAAAACTGGTTTGGGAACAAGACATACGCACCATTTTTCTTTCTTTCTTTCTTACATTATTAGCTATTTAAGATCTTTATAATGTTTTTCACTGTTCCTGCTCATCTCCTTTAGAGGTGAAAGATCTCAGACACTACAATACAGCACTGGTATTTATATGTTGGCCTGTTTTATTTACAGGCATTTCATTTATTGAGCTTGAACAGCTGTAACATGCAACTGATCCCTATATTCTGTTTGCAGTTGATTGCAGGAAACAGTTTAGGCAACAGAACTCAATAAAACAAGATCAATAAAGCACAGCTGTGTAAAGGAAAACTATTGGTTGAACTTAGATGAGATCAATTCCCAGTCACTATGTTAGTTATGATTTTACTTGTGTAAGGGCATAAATCTTAGTTAAAACATTGCAACATTGCTTAATAAGCAATAAGACAGTCCAACAGGAACAGCCGTGGTGAGTCAGTCTGGAAACTGTAATAAATGTTTACTGTTGAACATAGTTAACCTTCTCAGCAAAAAGATTTTAATAAGATATGGAGTGTCTTTGCAACTGGGCTTACTTTAGCAGTGCTGCAGCTTTCTGAAATCTTTCAGAAAGCACAGTGTTGCTATAACCGAATGCACTGCGCTTTTCGTTAAAACAATATTTTGACCACTGCCGACCTTTAAGAATGAACTGTTTTACAGACTCATCTCATCTCAGTCAATTCTTCTCATCTTAAGAATTGACTTTTGAGCAAAACATGCAGCCAGTTCAACAGCAGACAAAAAAAAGCATGGGAGTATTTGACTGAGCAGCTGTACGTCTATGTTGTGCATATGTCTGTCTCTTGTTTATCTAATAAGCGAATCATCATCTGCCTCTGTTGGCGTCCAGGCTTGTCTGCTACATCGCTACATCTTTTGCAAATGTCTGCACTGCAGCCATATCAATTTTAATAAGGAGAGCACATTAGTTAGCAGAGTTTGTGTGCCTGATGCACTGGCCATTAGTAATGGAAAACAAATTGTTATGCTTTCATCTCTAGTATAAGCAGCTCCATCACTGAATTTAGATTTTCATTTCACAATTATACTTTCATTCAGATTAAGAACAGTAATACAGATGGGAGAGAATCAATTAAATATTAAATCGAACACCACGCACTTGTTGTGGTTGTTTTTATTTGTTTGTTTTTAATGCTCATTCTTTGTTAGAACTTCATTACATGCAACTTAAGATTGCATTATCACACATATTTATTGTTTATTCACAACAGCAATATGTAATTAAGTGAGTATTACTGCATATATACTTATAATATCTGGTATTATTTCAAAAAAAGTGATTAAATGTATTTTATAATGTTCACTTTTCTGTATGGATAGCATGCTTTTATATTCTTCTCATCAAAGCTGCCACATTTATCCATGCATTTTATTGTCTATGGTAAAGGCACAGTAATCAGTTTTCTTTTGCCTTTTGATCTCGTCTGTTTCACCTCATCGAAATTTAGATATGTGGTGTTATTTTGTGCTTTTTATTGCTGTGTCAGTTTAAATTATGACAACGCAGAGCTCAAATTTGTGGCATAGTCCACGCCTGTCTAATTTGCAGGCTACTGATAGCAGCTAAGGTTTTAGTGCATAAAGTCCCACATACAGTGTGCCAAAGACCATTAACGGCTTCCTACTCATGGCCTCTAAAAATACGGACAGAATCTGTCTCTTCTTTCTGTCTTTACTCTGTCTCTCTCTCTTTATCTATCTCTGCCTGCCTTTTTTTCCCTCAACATGTCTCGGTCTTTCTTCATCACACGCACAAATGCATAAACAGACACGGACACACCTGTTTTAACCCAGCTATGACGAAGTCATCAGCTGTGTCCAACTTTTAGTACGCAAACAAATTGTTTAAAGTAAAACAAAAAAGAAGTAGCTTACTCAGAAAAAGCAATTAGATGTGAATGCATATTATACGCATTCTGAATGTAGTGCTAATGGGTTCTATAGAGTGCTCAGAATGGCTGAGATATTCACAGACAGTAAAATAACAGCTTTTGAGGCAGAAGATACTGGAAAACATAAAAGTGAGAAATGAAGAGGGGGGAGGAGATGCCGAGAAAACAGCATGACAATACACGAGCATGCCAGATAGAGCCTTCGGGGGAAAATGCTCACAAAAAGTATTGGGATTGTTTTGATCCATCAACATATGGATGTTTACTGGATCAGTGCACCTTTGCCCTGTTTAACTGATTGCTAATCAATGTTGCCTGGTTGGAACAGAATGGTGTGTGACGTCTGGTTGATGGGAACCAGTGATTAACAGAATCTGGAATTCTCACATTTTCACACTGTTCAGTTTTTGTCAGTTTCACAGCACTCAGCTAATGCACACAAACAGAAAAAAAAACACAGAGTACACACAGACTCTTACACTTGTACAAATGCTTGTTCTCAGAGATTGACACAGATGCCCCACACATATATCCTCATAAATGAGCTAATTATCTTTGGACACCAGTACATAGACATGATATTCTGTAACCAGTGCACAGAGCTTATTTGATAGAAAATAAAGAATTATCATTAAGTCTTGATTTCCAGTGGGACAGGCCATATTGATGTGTCATTGCCAGATTTTAGCTTGTTTAGCTCTGCAATAGAAGCAGATTGTAGATTAATGAAGAACATATGTTATTTTTACAGGATTTAAGAATGACAGTCTCAGTATGAACAAAAGCTGTATAATACATTTGATGGTTTGAGCTTTTAAATACAGAATATACTTGTGGCATACCAGCCTGATTATCAGAAACGCTGAGCATGACATTCAACCTGCAGATGTTACATGCTATTTGATGCCTAAGAGGTTTTGCGGAGCACGTAAAACACAGTGCTAATCTGTTTCCCACCTGTATCACAATTATTAGACCATGAAGCATGTAAAACAGATAGTTCTGGGATGTGGGATGTATTTTCTGGAGGGTTTTTTGAGTTAATTCATCCTTCACATTTAAAAGCCTTGATGAGTACTTGATCATGATTGCAGCAAAATATACAAGTGCAATTCATGGGTGATCTCTCTCTCAGAAAAAAACAAAAAACAACACAGAAATACACACTCACAAAATGCCAAATCAGTTTCTCTAGCTTAACCAAAAATAATAATAATAATAATAACTGAATAGTGTCCAAGTGTGTGTGACATTCCTTAGACATGCTATAGAAATTGTTGCCAATTGTATGGATGTCCCTCTTGATAGATTTCTGCATCTCCCTTTTCACAGATACTTCTAAAACTAGCACTTAACATACATTATACTTTGGATACCAAATTAGTTATTTTGAATATCTTAATTTAAAAGGCATCTTAGCATACATAAGAGTTGTTTTGAGTTGTTTTTTTCATTGCCCTGCTGCTGCAAAAAACATTCCTACTTGGTCTTTGTTACTTTTAGTATGAGAGTTTCATAACAATATGGGGCAAATCTCAGTCTTAGATTTCTCAGTGCAGTTGAGTAATATGATGTCATTATCACAATTACTGGAGCAGCAAAGTCAGTTGATCCTAAGTTTTCAGCGTTGTTGTTTTTGCACTTCAGTTGAATTTACTGAGCTTACCTTTGTAAATGATCAGATGATGATGATGAGTTGATGACACGTGCTTTGACATATCAGCACAATCTCACCAACATAGCAGCAGATCAGCAAGAGATTCTACTGTAGGTGTCTTTACCACACATATTTGTGTGCTTTCCTGGTTCACACTTCTTTTGTGGAGTTATTTTAAGCACTAGCGATAAGTGAGCAGCAGCTGAACTGAAGCCTCTGTGCCGGGTGAAATATGGGAGGCTTTAATTGGAGCAATATGACAGAAAATAGTATTTGTAGAAAAGTTGTACACTGTAAATAAATGACCAGAATAATACACAATCAAACTCATTTTAGAGTAAATATTTTTGTGTCTTTTAGGATAATGTGGACCTTGGGGATCTGATGTTTTCACTTTGTTACTTGCCTACTGCGGGCAGACTGACCATTACCATGATAAAGGCTCGCAACCTCAAGGCCATGGATATCACTGGTGCATCTGGTAATTAAAATCTGATACTGACTGTAACTGCAGCACCCCACTGGTATCCCAAATGTAAATCAAGTTAATTTTTCTTGTTTGTGTCATTTTTTTATAGATCCATATGTGAAAGTTTCACTGATGTGTGACGGTCGCAGATTGAAGAAGAGGAAGACATCAACAAAGAGGAACACTCTGAATCCAGTCTATAATGAGGCCATTGTGTTTGATGTCCCTCCAGAAAACATAGAGCAGATCAGCCTTTTGATTGCTGTGATGGATTATGACCGGTTCGAGAGTTTCTATAGAGTAGTTTCTACATCTTTTGCATGGGTCAATGTTTAATTTATACTTGCTGCATGGCAAAAGCGGATAAAATATATTCCAAGAACATTTGCAAATATTTCCTCAAACTCTTTGTCTCTGTAACATATTGTCTTGTGTGGTTTGCTTTTCACACACAATATGTAAGACATTATTATTTTTGGAAAGCATGGGAGGACTTATAATATTTTTTCTTTCTCCCTTATCCTCCTGGGTCTACAGAGTAGGCCATAATGAGGTCATTGGTGTGTGTCGAGTCGGCAATGATGCTGACAGCCTCGGTCGAGATCACTGGAGTGAAATGCTTACATATCCCCGAAAACCTGTCGCCCACTGGCATCCTCTCGTTGAGGTGAGATGGCATGTGTTGACACACACACACACATATATTAGGGGTGCAACGATACACAAAATTTACGGTTCAGTTTGGTTTGATACTTTGGTGTCACGGTTCGATATTTTTTTGATAAAAAAAAATGTTCATGTTTTTTTAATTTGTCATTTATTAAAATTATAAAAATATATTTTAACTCAAAAGTACAGTTTTTAAATTTAATGTTGCTGAAACAACAAAATAATAAAAATAAATAAATCTATCTGATCGAGGAATCACTCATCTTTGGAAAAGTTTTTTACAGAGAAATGTCTCTTTCCAAAATAAAAGCTATAATTTTCTTCTTCTGGGCTGTATTCTCAGCCGCATATTAAACATATCAGGTCCCCATAAAGAGAATCATGTGCTAACGGCTGTCTAAATGACTCGGGTAAAGTTTGTAGCATGTGTGCTTGTTGTTTTTGTCTGCTTCCACTTGTCTTTGCACTAGGATAATGTCGGTGTAAACATGCAGTCATATTCGTTGTGTTCCCACTAGTGCTGTCAGCCTTAATCTCGTTAAAATGACATTAACGCCATAACGCGGCAAATCTCCGTTAACAAGTTACCACGGATTGCCCCGTACATGGGGCTGGGTGGAGTCAACACGTTAACGAGCTAACTGCGCTAACGCACTAGTTCCCACCAATTGAACATTGTGTGGCACATCTGACATACTGTTTTACTTTTGTCCATGACGCGCTTACCATCAGGGTCATACTTCACATGAAGACCAAGATAGTTCCAAACGCCAGATCTGAATGAGGGTGGGGGAGGCTCAATTTCGGGTAGCGTTGAGGCAGTTGCCATGTTGCAATGAGCTTAGCTTCTGCCTTGCTAGCTTGCGCTGCACTCAGTGGATCTGTGCTCGACAGTGCAGCCTAGGCGGAGAAGTCGAACGCAGATCCACTGAGCGCTCAACACAGACAGCATCGTCAGAAGAAAAGTTGATAAAATAGATAACATTTTTTGTATTGTTCGATACATATGCCTACCGAAAGCACTGCATCGAACGGTTCAATATCGATACATGTATTGTTTCACCCCTAATGTATGTATGTATGTATGTATGTATGTATGTATGGATAGATGGATAGATAGATAGATAAAATTCCCCTCTCTCCCCTGAGGGGGGTCTATGCTTCACGCTCGGGTCCTGTACCAGAGGCCTGGGAGCTTGAGGGTCCTGCGCAGTATCTTAGCTGTTCCTAGGACTGCCCTCTTCTGGACAGAGATCCTACTTGGGACTCACTACACCTAGTGTTCCGATTACCACTGGGACCACTGTTACCTTCACCCTCTTCTCTGAGCCCTTGATACTTCTCCATCTTGCACCCTGCTGTTATGTGCTGGATTGTTTGAGGGGCATCTTTACACAGCCTGCACCTGGGGTCTTGCCTGGTGTGGTAGACCCCAGCCTCTATGGATCTTGTGCTTAAAGACTGTTCCTGTGCTGCCATGATTACTGCCTCTGTGCTGTCTTTCAGTGCAGCTTTGTCTAGCCATTGGTAGGATTTCTGGATGTCAGCCACTTCATCTATGTGCCAGTGGTACATACCATTCAGGGGCCTGTCCTTCATTGATGCTTCCTCCTCTTCCTCCTCTTTCTTGGGTTTCTGGTGCTTGAGGTATTCACGTCGGTTGGGCCATCTTCCTGAAGTTTAAGCAGTATAAAATATTTATAACATAAACATAATGATAAAAAAAACATTTATCATTAATTGAGGTTAGAGTTGACAGATGAAAGAAAAAGAAAGTGCAAGTGGGTAGGAAGCTTATCACTGTCCAGTTATTAAGGCACACTGAGCTCATTACTATTCACTGATACTGAAGTGTGTTGTTACAATGCGGCTGTGAAAAGATTTTTGGTCAGTGGTAAAGGGAATATGGTTGTAAGCTATAACAAAGCAAAAAAAAAGAGAGGATGTCTGCCATTTCATGGAAATCACTTTATTGCCAGAATTGACAAGAAGCCTAGAAAGCTCAAAAACATTATATATCTGATTTAATCATTTTCAGTGAAAAAGAAAGTGGCTCTCTCCAAAAAGTCCACAGATGGTGATGCTATTTTATGTGAAATTGCATATCTGTGTGTGATGGCTAAAATATAACCTGTTCCACCAGAGATCAAATTGGCTGCCAAAGTTTCCATAGCAATGTAGCGCCTTCTGTAAAATTGTTTATTTTTCTACAAATACAAGCTAGTTTAGAACTTGTAGTCATCTTTGTAATTTACCAGTATGACTTGGCCTTATACCATCGTCTCTGAGATTATGATATTCCTAATATTTATCCCAAATCTTTTTTTTAGCTGTTGAAGAGGGAAGGTAGACATAGTGGACAAAGCACTGACACAATACAGCATGTTTTGTGAATGGCAAAATAGATATCCTTCAGGTTAAAGCCACCAATAAAACTCATGCACTAATTGCCGTACTTTATTCTAGCGTGGAGTGAAACTATTGTGAGTTTGAAATGTCTAAGCTACTTCTATTGAGTGAATGGTAAGGGTGTTCAGTTTCTTATATGTGAACTTATCCATAGAGCTTCACAAACCAAGATAGTGCTCTACATTCATACATACATTCACACTGCAAGTTCAGTGCTCCTCTATCCAGCAATATCAAAACACCTACTGAACCCTTGTTCAAGTCATAATAATTAACAGACGTGACCATTTTAACCCATGGAAGTTAAGAGTATTTACACAGTGTAATAGTGACTAGAATTTACTATACATTTTAGGTATTCCTCTACATCTACAGAATTATTGGGATGACCTATGAATTTTCAAGTTCCAATAGCAGCCTAAGTTTAGTCACAGGCTTTTCAGTGACATTAGTCATCATCTGTGGATGCACTCAACATACAAGTCCTTTACTTGGAAAGTCTCCAAGCCTCTTGAAAATGTGCAGGAGCCATTGTGGGGAAGTAGGTTCAATTTTGACAAAAATATCTCCAGGCTTTATATTTTTCCTTCTTCGTTTCACTTTTGCCTCTTCTGCAGCAAAGGTAAGTATTCATGTACCCATCACTTTCTGCACACTGAACCTTCTCTCTATGGATACACATTATTTCTTGAATAGCCCAGTGGTAAGACCTGTTTACCTTTCATAAACTGAATATGATGTAGTTGTTGAGGTTATCTGACAATATTTTCTCAGATAGTAATACTGCTTTGACAAAACTGTGTTTTACAGGTTACAAATACATACCTGAATTGAGAATCTTTGGCCAACCTCCATGCAAATGATACTCTGTGCCCTCTCCACAGGAGATAGACATTGTAGCTGAGATCAAAGGGTTATAAAAAGTTAATAAACAGCATTTAAATGTCTGATTTGCAGCATTCCCTTAGTTGGTAACAGCAAGGAGTGTAAGATTGGTTTTCCCAAGGGATGAAACTCCCCAAGTGCCAATAAGCAGATTTCTGAAATATGGTGTCTGGCAAAAATTCTATTTTTTGCTTTCGATGTAACATTTATTGCTCTTAGTTAATGATCGGTCTTCAGTTTGTTCATTTACAATGATGGTCAACCTAATGAGTATCTTTGCCAAATTCACTGAATGCTAAAGAAACCATAGTTATCCTGCCCAATTTTGAGTCAGTTTATTCTCATGCTACTCACAAAACAGTACTGTACTTTTATGCTGTGAGGTTTCAAATGCAGGTCTGTTCATGTGTTTCTATGCCAAATGAACCACTTTATCTATAAAAGCTTTTATCCTTTCACTTGGACTTGGCAAGAAAAAGGTGCCATAGAAAAAACATCTATGCTAATAAAATTTAGTGAATGCATAAATAAACTGACCTCCCAAAAATCAAAAAAATGAAATGGCAGACATACAGTGTTTGTTTCACTGCCCAATTCATCGCTCTGTAGGTGGTGAGTACATTTGTTCCAAGATAAAAAGGTAGGATTGGCTCTAGATTTATTTGATATCATCGTACATCTGTTTATATGACTAATAGAGATGGAGGTTTTTTTTGTTTGTTTGTTTCTTTTACACTAACTATCATTGCAATCTTTCTGCTTTATTCTCTTGCAGTACCAGGGGACCACAGGTAGTAGCCAGGGAGGATCCTGTAATTCTCTGAAGACACCTCCTTCTCCGTAGCCATGAGCAACAATTCAAATAAGCCGAAGGCTGTGCTATATGTACCTTTGGGCAGATGTGATACAGAATTTTGCTCATATATGGTCCTAGCATAAAAAAATAAACACATGCATTAATACCTATGGAAAAGAAAGACACAAACTGTCTTGAGCTCTGCTCTTTTGGATCAGTTGCATGTTGAATGACTGCAAAGATGGATGTTTTTTTTCTATGATGTTCCATAAGAAAAAGAACCAGCACAGGTAGATATTTTAGGTCTGAGCTGTTCCTGAGTTTATAAACTCATTGCTCTTTTTTAATAGTCTTGTTACTTGTTTTAATGAGATGAGTCTCTGTAATTGCACAATGTACTTACAACCAGTTGAACTGCCATACTGTTCTCTTTTTTTTGGTTGTGAATTGGTGCATGAGGTCATGTTTTGATGGGATATCTTCTACTTGTTTGTTGGTTTTTGTTTCTATTTTTTTGAATAGGATGTATTGTTCTGTCAGTTGATGTGCAGTGACAGTTCATTTTTAGGCAAAATACCTGTAAGTAAAAGTATGTTAAATGTTACGAATAAAAATTATTCCATAGAAAAATGTTCATCAGTTTCAATTCAGTTAATTTGAATGTGAATTAGAATTTCATAATATGCTAGATTTCTATCACTTTAGCAACTATAGTACACAACACTAGCTCTTCAAGATAAAGTAAGTAAGTAAGTAAGTAAAGAGCAAAACTGTGTTAAACAGTATACAGTAAAATATATTATCCGTAAAATATCTTTTTTATCACTGTTTAAGATTAGTGTTTTAGAGCACTAAATATAAGACAAAAAGCTAATGCAAACACATTAAAGTTTTGCATATTATTTTATTTCTAAGGTTTTACATGTAAGGACATAATAAAAAATTATCTAGTCCTCATTGGGTCTTAATAGTAGATAAAGGCAACCAAACAATCAATTAGATTGTTTATTATCATTCATCATTTATAAAAAAAAATGAAGCCAAAATGAAGATGCAGCACATAAAAAACATAGTTCACTCCATGAATTAGAAGCATATGGAACCACATTTAACAGCAATAACTTGTAGTAAGTAATCATTTTCTATATTTTCAGATTTTTTATGTTCGGCTTAATTAATGTTTTAATGTTGGCCATGTTTTGGTTTTCAGAGTGATGACCTGACATTTGCTGTATAATGCTATCGTATACATAGGAGTTCATGGTCAAGTTAATGACACAAGGTTCCAAAGATACGGTGGCCATACTAGCCAACCTTGAGACCTCAGAATTAGGGAGACATTCGAGGGGGGAGGGGGGGGGATACATGTACATGTACATAAACATATACAAAAAACTAGAATTTTACAGTGTTTATCTATTAGTAGCTAGGCTAACACACTTACCTCTCATATAAAGCTACCATGCTAATGGAGTGATGTAGCTCTTAAGATCACTACTGATTTCACCCATGATGAGGACTAGAAAGCTGTCAAAACTATATAGAGGTGCACCTGACTTCTACTTTTTTCTTAATTCCTATGGAAGCACAAAGCATGTATTTAGTTTTTCACACACTGCTTCTGCATTTTGTCTTATTTCTTATTAAATAAATAATGACATGTTTTGTAGTTAATCTTTGCCAGATTTCTAGCTACTATGAATCTACTGAAATCTACTGAAAATATTTTTTTCACAAAGCACATCTGATGTTGTTCCCTTTGTAGTGAAAAGCTGATTTAATTTTACAATATTCACCGGATGTGTTGTCACAATTTAGTACCATAACTTATCGGTGAGAAGTAAACAACAGTAAACTGCATCCAGGAAGTTGCCTGACTCACTCGGTGAGCTGGAACTTGAAAATCAAAGGAAACATAATTACCAGTTTCCAGACAGTCCCCTTAAGCTCCTTTCTCATTTCATTTGCTTAAATAGCTTATGACTGGCACTGTATCCAAAGTGCTTCAGTTATTTTCTTTACTTCACGCACTGGTAAAAGGTTAGCTCTGCTAGTCAACAGAAATTACAAGAAATATTTCTAAGAGCAAATAAACAATCTTTTATTGTCTTTTATTATTATGTATCCTTATTATTACATGCACTGAATATATTCTTCAGGCTGTATAGAGCAAAACACAGTTTTAATAGAGAAATCAAAGTGGTAGGCATAATCCTCAAAGCATTTTTAATTTCAAAACAGCCAGAAGGAAAGGACATTAATATTTTATCAAAATATTACAGCCACATGAGAAAGAAAAAAATAAAAGGGGGGGGGGGGTGATTTTTGGTAAGTAGGTTGGTAGGTAGATGTGAGAGTGAGAGAGTGAGCATGTTTTTCTTTTTTCTCCTTTAATGAAATTCCTCTTTAAGGCCATCTTTGAAATTGTGTGTCACCTGAAGGAGGTGAAGATGACAGTGTTTTTGTGTATTTACTATTAGCTGACAATCATGAGTGGTTTTTTGAAAAGAGTTTCTCAAACTATTCCCTTAGGAGAAGCAATAATAAAATACTACAAAACATGCAAAACTGTATTCATGGAAAATTGTGCATCGAGTATTAATAATAATAATGTTTCCCATCCGGATTAAATGGATGGTTTGTAGCGCCCCTGAGAACAGTATCTCAAAAACAAAAATAGGCAGTCATACATCACAGACCAAGACAGGCCATCAAAGACTTGCGTGTGGCATGGTAAACTGTCAATAACCATATCAACAGGGCAGATTCAAAATATTTCAACAAGATATTTTTCATCAATGTTAATCCAAAGGTTCTGGCTGCACCTGGTCAACTGAAGCTGTCATATTAGACATATATTGTTATAGTTTCTTTTTCAAGATGCGAGGACAGCAAATTAAAAACAAAATTCAAAATTAAACTTCAGCTGATTTTTGGCTTATTTAAATATACATTTAAATTACTGCAGTTCGACTCTTCAAAGCCTTCATATTCTAATCCACAAATATTCAAAAGATTGTTACATACAATCACAGCCTTTTTTCCCATCTTTATTCTATAGCTAGGCAGCTTAGCTCAGTACCGCCTGTGTCCAGTGGCAGCCTTTGATAACATTTTATGCAGTCTCTGAGCATGAAAGGGAAAGAATGTAGTACTGTGCAGCTCATTCATCCACAGTTCATGTCATGCTATGGTAGAGAATCGGTGATACAGAATGAAGCAATCACAAATGACTAAAAATTTTTAACACAAAAAAAAAAATACAGCCACAGAAAAGTAACAGCTGATCTCTCAAGTGATTAAAACACTCTAAACACAAAAATGACAACACATACAGACACTTTCTGAACAGAATTTATTAAGAGCGAAATGGAAGCCTTGAGTGTGTGCACTTTTCTTGTGTGACCCTGAATCGTATTCTGGCTCCCTAAACTGGTACTCAGACATCAAAATCTTGAGAAACTCCTGATTTTATGTGAATTTCCAAGAACAAAAGTAAATTCAAACATTTAAACTGTGTATTTTGTTTGAGGACAAAGGAAACACATTAATCCTTTAATAAAAACCTGTGTTACCATAAGATCTCAAGGTGAAGATAGAAATGCATTCAGAATATGGATACACTGTATTTTTGAGTACAGAAAGACAGATACATTTATTTGTCCCCAGTAGGGAATTTGGCTTGCAAGAGAAGTCACCTGACATTCATACAACCACATAAAAACAAGCACATCAACATAAAAAGACAGGCACACAATGTGCAGAGACTTTCACTCTCCTTGGATCTTAGGGAGGATTTTCACCAATTTGGCAACGTATGTGTCACTCACGTTCAGAAAGTTGATGGCTTGTGGAATAAAAGGTCATTTGAACTTGTTTTGTGAACATAGTTGAATAACAATGCTGTGCATATGGTAATAGTTTAGAGGAGGCAAGCGGATGTTTCACATCACCGACAGTATAGGTAAGGGATCTAAAGCTTTGAGGCAAAGATAAGGCATAAATAAAAACCCATGTTTTATAAAAGGCAACAAAGTTATTACACATTTTTTAGTTTCTAATTGTTGCAGTTTCTTTTAGAAATTTTACTTTAAAATATATGAAAAAGTTATGATTTTTCTATACATAGGAAATAACATACGATAGGAAAAAAGAGATTTGAAGTCAAATTATATAATTTACAAAACTTTAAATTACCAGCCTTTTGTCACATTTTAAGAAATTTTAAGTGTATTGTCATAGTTGTGGGAAATCTGGACCCAAAATTCAGACTCCAGGACAGGATTTAATAGACTTGAACAAACCTATATTATATAAGGCCACAAATTCAGTTGACTGAAAAAAGCAGGGTTCAAAAGTAATCTAAGCAGTTAATACACAAGATAAACACTTAGGCACACACAACACACACAGAACAAGAGACTATCAAAATAAGACAGGAAACTAGCACTGAGACAGAGGCTACGATACATGAGCTTGGTAGGCCAAAGTAAACACAAAGACAAAACTAACTAAATGCAGGAGACATCACAGAAACACAGACTAAGCATGGTGAATATAGGAAGACAAGAAAAACTTAACAACTAACAAGATCAGAATGATAACTTTTTTGACAGCTTTTTTTTCAAGTGCATGTTGTTAATGACATTTACACACTTTTCCACCAGTTTAAATGTACAACTTTTCAGTGCCCTTTATACTTGAAGCTTTTAAATAGGACCCGAGTGCTTATTCTACCACTGCAACTGATACAATATCAGTTTCATGACATTACTTTAAAAATAACTAAAAAATGGATTATGGATAGATAACTAGTTATTTGAAACTTTTAAACCTACCAGTCCCTTAAGAAGACAGAACAGTCCATCTATTCTCCAGCTGTTCTCCTTGACATTTCTTATCTGGTGCTTCCTGACTCATCTTTCCTCCCCTCTTTCTTACACACTGCTGAATTCGCACAGATTTGTCACCAGGTTTGGAAACCTCTTCCTCAGAGTCACACCACAGCTGATTTGGAGCAGCAGGTTTCTCAGTCTGTCCTGATTCTGGATGCTTGGAGTCCAGGATTAATGGTAGGATTAAAACTTCATTTTAATTTGAAATCACATGTACATAATTTGTATTTTTAAATCACTGAGAAAAAATAAGAAAGAGACAGGACAGACAAAATACTGCAGAAATATTGGGATTGATAACAAAAGTGGGGTAAAACATTATAAAATAGCACAGCCATATATGCAACCTACATCTAGTAAGTTATCATAGTTTCTGCTCCTTAATCCTTTTTGATCACAACTGCATTGCTGGTAAGTAATTAACATAAAGGGAGAAATATGGAACAACTGAACAGAGAGATGATAAAACAATAAACCTGAAAGATAGAAGTTTGGGTTACTGAGTGAAAATGTCATGATCTCGCCCTCAGGAAACATTTTTAGTTTTGTGTTCTGTTTGTGTTTTAAGACTGGGATGGATACGTATAAACAAAGCTCTAGTACAAGCTTTTATTCTGTGAATTTCCCATCTTCCTCAGTGCAATAATTGTGCTCATCTCCTGGGTTAAGACCTGCTCAATGAAACCCCACAAGCTGACTACGGCTTTGTAGTTTATCTTTAAGG